ATGTAAAATAGCTTTTCAAAATTTAAAAGATGCTTTAATTTCGAGACTCATTCTAACTTTGTTTAATCCGAAATATCCTTGTCATGTATTTGTAGATGCATCTAAAGAAGCTGTTGGTGAAGTTTTAAAGCAAGAACTCCCAGCTGGATATTTACATCCATGTGCTTTTCATTCTAGAAAATTAAGGTCTTATGAGCAAAATTATGCAATTACTGAATTAGAGTGTTTAGCTATTATTTATGCTATAGATAAATTTTATTATTATTTACATGGTAATCGTTTTACTGTACATACTGATCATGCTACTTTAGTTTGGTTAAAGAATATTAAACATCCTACATGCAGGTTATTTAGATGGTCTTTAAAATTATATATGTATGATTTTGATATAAAATATAAAAAAAGGTTCTACTAATGTTGAAGCTGATATGCTAACTAGAAATCCTATTTGTAAATTTATTCAAGCTGTCAATTTGTCATCATTTGAGTTTTCAAGTTAATTTATTATCATTAGAAAAAATTAAAGAGCATCAGAATTTAGATAATGTATATAATCCTATGTATAAGAAAATTAATTGTATGTTAACTATTTAAAAACAAGGATTATACAAAATTGTAATACCAATATCTCTTCGTACTAAATTACTTGAAAAAGCTCATCTTAATTTTGATTATATTGGTGTGTCCTCAATGCTAAATTTATTATCTTCTCAATATTATTCAGGTCAGGATTGTTCAAGCTATTAAAAATTATAGTAAACATGGTGAAGTATGTCAGCTTAATAATAAAAATAAACAAAAGAGATTCGGTTTAATGCAAGCCTTACCATCTGTTAGTGAACCTTTTGAATTATTGTCCATTGATATTATTGGTGGCTTAAATTATTATGATTCTACTAAAAAGTATATTCACATAATTATCAATCATGCTACTCTTTATATATGGTCTTTTGCTTCTAAAAGTGTAACTATGGATACTTACATAAATTGTTGAAGACAAATTTTCCAAATTCAGATAAAAAAAAAAAAAAAAAAAAAAAAATAAGTGATAGAAAAGCTGCTTCTTCAAAATTTAAACTTTTTTTAAGAAATCATAATGTAAAACAATTATTAACTACTGCTGACAGGCCTCAACCTAATTATAAAGTTTAATAAGTTAATCAAACAATTATAACTATCTTAAAATGTAAATTAAATTCTTTATCAGGGTAATATTGCATGGGCAAAATTGTTACCTCAGGTTACTGAAGAATATAATAATACACCACATTCTGTAACAAAATTCTCACCATCTTATTTAATGTATGGAAAATTACCTTATAATCCTCTACTTGAAAATCAGTAAATATATCCACCAATTGAAGAAGACCTTGTTTGGACAAGATTATCATAATGCAAATAAAAAAATCTGATCTGTACACCACATGACTTCCTTGTACGGAATGTTAAATTATATGCATTTTTTTCTTGCATTTCGTTTAAACTTATTGGATTTAATTCAATCTACTTCGCCGACAGCGCATAAACCACAATATAATAAATACATTCTTTAAAATTCACTTTGTTTACCATAGCGACACTCTGGCGCTAGGTTGACTTAACAGTATTATATTTCGTTCATATTATAACTCAGAATGCACAAAATTTATATCATTTAAAGAATTATCTAATTGTTGCCACATGTTCTATTCAAATACTATAATAAAGCTAGAACTATGTATAAAAGAAATTAAGCAAACAAAACAAAAAAGAAACAGTTTTTCACAGACGATTGAGTATTTCTCATTCAATTAATTCAGTTCTTACTCCGTGACAAGGCAAATACATAAAAACTCAAAATATCTGTATTAAAAATTAAATTACTAATTATTAAAAATTAAGTAAATCTTAAACACTTATTTCCTGGAAAAAATTCCAGAAAGGATTAAGCATGATTTAGTTCACAATAATAAATGAAGGCGTTATCTTTGCTGTTGCGAAGCTATGTTTCTCTAGTTTGGCAACAAATCCACTACTCTGCTGTTTCAAATGTAAACAAGCAATGGCCGCCATAAAAAAATTTATTGGGCTTAGTGGCACTTAAACAACTTTAAAAATTGTTGATAATTCTAAAAATATTGCATACAGATTTACTAAATGCATAAAAACCTTAACCGGAAGACAAGAACAACATAATTCAATCATTTTTTAAAGCAAAAAAAATGTACAATTTACAAACATATAAAAGTAAAGAAACTGAGATCACTGAGCCGAATAAATTTATATATGTTTGGCGCGGCCGATTGCAACCAAAATACAAGGTGCACATCTACATGTTATAGTAGTCCCATATACAAAATTTCAACGTTATGAGGCTACTCGTTTTTGAGTTATGTGAGATACGTACGTACATACGTTCATACTGACGCCACAAAAAATTCTCTTCGGAATTCATTTTAAAGCAGTTTTATAATTTTTTTGGAGGAAAAGAGTCTTTTATTCTGCCAGATATCACGCAAAAGCATCGTTAAATTGCATTCAAAAGTGGTCAAAATGGATATTTTTGTTGAAATATGCTGCCTGAAACTTTTCGTGATTACAATACTTCTTTTTTACACCAAGGAAGTAAAAAGATATGACACCCATTGTAAGCCCAGTAATTTTAAAATAGGTGATTTAGTAATGTATAAAGAATTTCAAATTCCTAATACCCATAAACTTTGTCCTCCTTTTTCAGGCCCTTACAAAATTTTAAAATAGTATTCTGAAGTTACTTTAAATAGATAAGCCTAATTATCTAACTAAAAAGAAATCAGAAATTGTTCACTCAACCAGGCTCAGACCTTTTAATCAAGCTAATGAATTTAACGGCTAGAAATAGTAGAATCCCTGTTTCTGTGCAAAACTAATGTATTTTTAGTTTTCCAAAGTCTGCATCAAAATTGTTTTCCCATTATGACATTTTAAAACCCAATTACGACAATTTATTTTTCCTGATTTTGTTCTCTCCCAGTCTGGCTCCTTTTTCCTTCTTCCCAGAGTTTTTCTGTTTTAAATTTGTTGTATACGTCCCCCATAGCCCAGGAGAGGGTTTTCACTAACACAACATTTTTCTTGAAAATCTGGATTCAGTACCAGATTCTCAATCAATGACAACATCTCTATTCCCCTGTAACATGAGTTTTTACACTATGTATATTAATTACTGTTTGTGTCCTCACTTTAGAGAGGATACAAGATGTGATAGCACGTGCCTGCTGTCCCTTTAGGAACACTCCTAACACCTTCTCCAAAATTTTATTGTTTTTATTTGTTAGGAGATTCAGCTATGGTTATGAAACTGACTTTGATTATTTCTGTTTCCTTTACCAGTCACAATTCTCTGACCATAGCTTAGCAAAAAAGTGCTACCATACACACAAATACATACATTTTACATAATTTTAAAACAATTTTTTTCCCCATGTTTGCATCTTATTGTAGGGTAATAATCAATTATATTTTGAAAAATTTAAAAGACTTTAACTTAATTATATAAGTTATTTGTCTTAAATTTCAGTCTTAATTTTGTATAATTCTGTATTTTTATTAATTAATAAGAAAGATCTTTGAAAGAAAAACTTCAACAATTGTTCAATGCCAGAACCCAGTTACCTTTTTCGAAGGAACGGAGATTTTTTTTTATATATTGTACTTAAGCATCCCCCAACCATTAGCAGGCTGGTACGCTGATTTTGTTGGAGAGGACATGCGAAGTAATCAGCAAAGTATCATTATGTTATTCAATATTGCATTATATCATGTTTTTATATAAATTTTTTCTATTGTATTATGTTTAATAACCATAATAAGAAGAACTCATTCAATTAATCATAAATTGTGCGTTATATCTTCCGATTTTCATGTGGAAATATTTTCAAGAAAATTTAAATGGCATTTTATATAGCAGTTACTTTTTGGAGCTATTTTCATCAAGAACGTGTACAAAAACTTGTCATTGAGCATTCTAAAAGTTTGAGGACTTTAAAAAAATTGTGTTAATTTATTATTTAGTTTTATTTAGAGGTTATATTGTTGCTGTAACAGTTGTAAATTATATGTTTTAAGTATTTCATAATATATATATGAGAAAGTTCTTGAACAATGACAGGGCATAGGAAGACTTGCAGGCTATGTCCTTGATGCTTCATCGTGTCTTTCCTCTTATGATAACTGTTTGATACACTAATGCTTTTTCTCCAAAGGCTCTCCCAACCTTTCTTTTGAAGGGGTGATATTGTGAGGTATAATAAAATACGATGGGTATGTTAAGAAATAATTGGCAACCTCAAAATTGACTATTCTAGATATTTATGTTCTCCCTCCGAGTTTATCCTTTCTCCCAAATTCGTGCTCTTTCCAAATTACATAACACTGCTTAAAATGAGAACTGAAACCTAAAATTAACTAAAAACGGCTTAGCTCTACTTATACACCTATGCATTATATGTATACTACATTGCAAGCAATTACAGCATTCCTTTTCCTAACTTCTACCATGCAAACATCTCTGCGCTGCTATGCTTTCCTGTCTAAGATGCTTACATCGTACTTTTAAAACCCGTGTACATAAAAAGTATTGTATTTAACTATGATTGGATAAATACCATGTCTACCAAAAGGATATAATGTAAATTTTCATGGAATTAAAAATATGTTTCGGAATGGCCACATCTGGAAGTTTCTGGTTTATGCATCCATATTTCTAACTACGCATTTAAAACATCACATGTATAAACGCTTGTATTTGCTAAAAGATCTCCAAACATCTTTGATTTTAGATTGTTTTAAACTAAATTTCATTTCATAACTCCAATAAGAATAGAAACTTAACATGTTTATTTAGAAAGAACAGAAAATAAAATTAATCCATACAAAATCAAATCTACATCAAAGTTTGACTAATGTAAATGCATAAGGATTCTACTACAATTTTCATTGGACTATGAAAAGTAATTTTATAATGTTTATGCAATTTTCAGGGTTATATGCTAATGTACGAGTCAATGCTCCCTTCTCTATTGTATGCTCGTGACCGGTGGTTGAAACAGGTAAGTCCATTCTGATCATTTATTGAGTTCTAAGTGTAACAACATGAAATCTCTTTACTGAGGTTAAAATATATAAATTTTATACTCCCAAAATTTAGTTATAGTTGTTCAGATTGTAGTATCACTATACGATTTCAGTGTTGACGTGCAGGGTTAGATTTTAGGGCATGTTAAGTGGATGTGCTTAAATCACTTGAGTTATTGCAGTTTTCTTCCGTTTTTTATAGATGTAAATTGTTGTGTTTCAATCATGAAAATTAGGGTACTTTGTTATAGAAGAATGCAGGTATTTTCTGATTATCTGCACCCGCAATTTCCACATTTGGTAAAATTGCTGTTTTGGGGACAAAATTTTTTCTTACACATTCCACACAAATGGCATGTATCGCATATGAGTTTGAGCACACATGGATTTATATTCTTTATAGTTAACTGTCATTTCACCGAATGGTATTCATAATTGCAAATATAAAACTAGCCTAAAATGCTTTTTGTCACTTCAAAAAGTTTCTAACACGACTTTGTAGGGTTGTGGCTAATCAGAAAGTACCATAATACTGTTAAGTTCTCCTAATTCTCTAAATTTAAATGGGCCTCATTAAGAAAGCTTGTATTTGTAGTTCCAAAGTACTCTCAATTAAGGGCTCTAAATAGGCGCATGGGTTTTGATTCTTAACTCGGGAACACTCTAGCTGTTACTTTTTGTTGACATAAAGAAAATTTTTTATTTCCAATATAATACATCCCCAATATCTGTAACCCTTTGAGGGGCACATTAAAAATTGTTCAGCCTTTAATGAAATTAATTGATGACCTTTGAGCTCCGTAAATGTGAAATGCATTGAAAAAAAAAATTACACTCCTTGGAAGGGAGGTGGGTGGTGGTTTCAGAGTGAAACCACTGCCCATGTAGAGCATGAAATCTGCAAACATTTTGTGCATTGATTTTTACAGCAAAATAATGCATATATAAATAGTTATGGTTTTTTTGTTAAATATAAATAAAAATATAATTTCTGAAAATTAACTCCATAATTTAAAAATATAGTACAAATAATACTATTTATTCTAATCTTATTTCAGTACGAAATTTCATATGATGTTCATATGAATATACTAAGTAAATGCTAAAAATGTAAAATTTATAACATTCCATCTTCAGATTTTCATCAAAAATATTATGCAGAGGTTATATAAAGTATATCTTATTACTGGCATATTCACACAGCTTTAAAAATTGTGAAACTTTTGAAAGCATGCGATGCCTTTCTGATAATTACATAACAGTGCAAAGTAAAAAGACACATCTATCTTTAGAAAAAGAGGCTAAAAGAATGAATTGCTCCTGTTCTATCCTTTATTTATTTTCCTTCTCTCAAGGGAAAGGGCAATACCTTCTTCCCAAACTTATAACACCCTCCCCTTCTTGAAACACAGAGATCACATTACACCCTAGAAATTAGAAAATACATAAGAAAGTTTTAGCTCTAAGATCATATTACAGATCACATTACACCCTAACAGTCAGAAAATATATGGGGATATTTTAGCCCTAAGATCACATTACACTTTAGCAAACAGAAAATATATAGGAATGTTTTAGTTCTAAGAGGGCAGTGGTTTGGGTAGAGGTCTTATTGATTTCAAACCACATGTTAAATTATATATATATATATATATATATATATATAAATTATCTTATTCTGATTTCTTTCCATATTAGTGTTTTACATATAAAAGGGTATGTAATAAAAAATTCATAGTTATACTTGGGTAACTAGATGCATTTTTTATGAAGTTAGAGAGAAAAATTGAAATTTTTTTATCTTTGTTTGTTCAAAGTTTAAGCACATATAAATAAATACAGAAAAAACACTCTGTTATGTGCTGCCATTTGTTGGTTCTTTTGAGTTTTAAAAACATACTAACACAGTAAAACCACAGAAAAATCACTGCACAACTTGGGGGGGGGACATAACAGGAGGTTTACATAAATTAACAGGAGGTTGTTTCGAAGGTTGACTCTGCTCTGCGCAAAGGGTTAAGATATATTTTATAACTCTTTTGTATATTTTTATTTCCTTATGTAGTTTGCATTACAGTTACATCACATGTAATTTATGCACATTAAGCAGTTTTTTTAATGTTAAGTAGAATATAATTTGGCTTACCAATTTTTAAGAGCATTCTGTGCCTTTTTTTTTTTTCCTGAGAATGTAATCTTTCTGCTCTTGCAGCTCTAATCTGCATAATGTCTGAGAATAAGATTTTAATCAAATAATATGCAAGATGGTATAAATCGTGGTAAAGCATCCAGTTTTTATTTTAGTCTGTCATTGCTTAATACATCAGTGAGCAAAATAGTTTCACAGTGTATTTGCACATTCGTGATTTACAAATTTGTATTACATATGGTATGTAATACAAATTTGGAAATATATAATAATACAAATTTGGATTATTTCAAATTTGTATTACATCAGGCAGTATCATCACAAAAGTCAATGATACTGCCTTATGGTGTCAGGCAGTATCATTGACTTTTGTGAACTAAAGCTTGCTTCAAATGAATTGTAACTCAAACAATTGATGTGCAATTCATTGTTAATTCATCCTAACAATAAAATCAATGGATGCAGTGAAACTGTCAAAACTTTTGAAACTTATCACAGAAAGGAAAAAAAATAATGTTAATAATATTCTTTCATCATAATGTTTGGAAATTAGAGAATCTTTCTGTTTTCAATCATTTTGTTAAGTCTAATATTGAACTAAAGTCATAGATAAAATATATAAGCCAAAATGCACCAACTTGCATCAAAGATACATAATATGGCTTCAGTGGAAAAGTGCTTTTATTTTTTGTGTATCTTTATACATATATCTTTTTAATTAAAGGATTATCATATTTTAAAATGTCATTACATTTTTCATGTGAATTTTCTGTGTATTTATTTTTTCTTTTAATACCAAACAACGGAGGGAAAATAATATGTGTTGTTTATTAAGGATTCACAATATTTATCATGATGAAACATTTTTGTTTTTAGGGTGGGCATTTGTTTCCTGAAGAAGTTCGTATTTATATAGCTCCTATATCTGATTATCAGGAATATGAATATAGGTGAGACTAATTAGTGAGTAATTAAGGATTTAATTATAATGTATTTGAATTTCTGATGTAATATTTAACATACAGTTTTTCTCCCTGTAATGAGCTCATGTTCTGTGATTTTTAAAATAGATTTTTTTCCTTCTCTTTCTGTTATTTTTTGTCAACTAATGTATGGTACTTATGTTTTTACATGTATATGGTACTTATGTTTTTACATGTGTAAAATGCAGTTCCATAAAATTTATAAGTGTATTTATTAACTAGGTGGGAAAAATACCCATACTGTAATATTTTTACTATGTGTGTTTGTTTTTGGGCAGTAAAATACGCTGGCAGCATAACATCATTATTATCAGCCAGCTTTCCCCAGCAAGTCTTTTACAAAAGTATTCCTTTTCTCTGATCAGATTAATCAGCCACACTGGACAGTGGGATAATTTGGGCCTAAAAAATGATTGATTGCATGAGTGTTTTCTTAGTTATATAAAATATGTGTAAGGCAATTTTGTTAGAAAGTCGTACATTGATTTTTTTCATGCCCCATGCTTTGCAAAAAAGAATTATATTTACTTTCTTATCTTGGGCTGTTGAAAAATCGTCAGTTTTAAGTAATAATGAACTACTTGTGTTGATATTCAACTTACTTATCCTTCTCTCCTCCTCAAACTTCGATTCTTCGTTTTTAAATTTTTAACTTAAATAATTTTTACGTGAATTGTCTTGATGTCTTATTGGGCATAGAATAAAGCTGATATCTTTTTAAAGACATCATAGTTATTTGTTAAATTTTTGCTATTGTAAATATTTTATTTTGAATTTTTTTAAATAAAATAATTTTATGGTTTTCTCAATATAAAAGATAATTTAAATGGAATAAAATTATACCATCGATACATCATTATTTATGCAAATTTCTTGCAGTGTAGAATTTTGGCATAAAGTGGAAGATGCTTACAAAGTAGATATGAGTGCTCTTGCAAAAACTGCTGCTGAACAAATGCAAGGTTAGTTATTTTGAATTTCTATATTCAATCAAAATTATTAGAATGTATGGTACTTATGTTGCCAGTCACCAGATGTGTTCCAAGGTATCAAATATGATAGCCAGTTTATATTGCATTTTGAATAACTGGGCAATGTGTAATGTGCACTATGTTAACATAAGCATCCCGAATTTGTCCAATTTTCAGCTATTTTTTCAGGCAGAAACATCAGAAACTTGAATAAATTCAGCATTGTTCACAGTTGTAGCATTGTGTGCATTAAACATTATATATACTAAAGCAATTTATATATATATAAAAGGAAAATGAACATAATGATTTTAGTAAGTTCAGCTAGTGGAATTTCATGTGTCATGCTGGCAATTAGCAATAATAAAAATGAAAAACTGCTGTTATTGGTTTTAAATGATTTCAGGGTTGCCACGCTACCTGAAAAACCAGAAAAAGTCAGGGAATTCAAAAATTGACCCAAAAAACAAAGGGGAATTTAAATATTTTAGTTAAAATCTAGAAAAGTTGGGGAATTTCATACAGTGATCCCCCAAAAAGTGAATTTTGTGCCAAGTTGGAAGTGATAACTTTCTTGGTGGATTATGTATGTATCCTGTGAGCATCATTCGGACAGCTGGGGTAGAGCCAATTTTTGCAGCTCCAATCAAATTGTCTTTTAGAAAGGCAAAGCAGGTTTCTAGCAACTTTTGGTTTCCAGTAACCTCAAGAATCGAGAGACTGGCATTTGTAGTGCATTTTGAACTAAAGAAAATACCTTCCCGTTTACAAAATTAGCTTAATCCTAGTATACATTACACATGATATTTGGAAACATGATGACGAGGAGGAGTAACCTGGTCATTTTGGTGTTTGCGACAGTTTTCAAAATCATGCCAAGGCCACAGCATATACTATGATTTTACAACAAAATCTTTTAAACCTTTTTTTCTTTCTTTTTAATGAATGCCTTATTTGTCATTTTGCTGTAAAATAAAAAATAGTAATCAGTCATCTACACTAACCATTTAATATAATTATACTCTTCAAAATATCGTTGATTATTGTAATTCAAATTTTAATTAATTAACTTTATTTTAATATTAATTCTACCATTTAATGTGGAAGAAGCCACATTAAATGGTATTAAATGTGTTGCATCAGGTTCTTCTATTTACAATAAAATTAATGTAAAATTCCTTACCTGCTGCATCTTCAGTGTTCACGACGCCAGGCTTCTAATAATCACGTTTTCAGTAAGAGTTTCTATTACTGCTAACAAGCCATCTTGTCTTTTAATTATTTATTCAAAGAAAACGCTAATATACACTATTTACAAGGTAGGTGATAATTATTTTAAGACAGTACATTTTTAATTCTGAGTCTTTACGCTCCTCAGAGCGGTTCCAATCTCGACTGGTTCTCGAAACTTAATTACAGCAAAAGTAAAGGAAGAGATGCCCGCCACCTAGTGGCAAGAATGTGACATCCTCCCACCTTTTGATTTTACCTCGATAAGATGGGAAAATCAAAACAAAATTTATCAATAATCAAACAAAAATTCAAGTACAACTTTCACAAATATGAAAAGTAACTAATGCTCTAAAATTAATACTTACAAAGAAGGATTACACATCTAAACATTTTTTGCATTACATTCATACCATATCCAGATAACATGTTCCAATTGACTACTGTTAGGACAATTAAATTTCTAAAATACTGAAATGAAAAACAAAAAATTAGTATAGCAATTTAAAAATATGTAACAGGTTTACAGTTTTACGTCCATATCTAGTTTGATAGTTCATATCACTGTCACACTTATCGGCAGAGTTTTTTTCTGTTCATGGTGAAGTCACTAAACAAGTTAGGTCTATCAAGTTCGAGAGGATAAATACGTTTCACAGGTCTTAGGAGTTCACCCGTTGCAGTTTTCACTTTGACAACACGTACTTCGTTGTCTTTCCCAGGATATAGTTTCTACAACACGACCTATTGGCCAATCTATTCTCTTTCTTGTTTGTCGCTGCCGACAAACACCAAGTCATTTTTGTTGATAGTCCGAGTAGATCGTTTAGATGGTTTTTGCTCTAGGATAGCTAAATATTCATCACGAAATCTTTTGCGAAAGTGTTTCTCTTAAGTTTCTGCAAGAACTTGTATCTTTTTGTCAGATTGAATGGTATCTAGGTGGTCTAAGTCTGGTACTCCGACCTTCGTGTACATCTTGCAGAAACATTGAAGGAAGTTAGTGCCGTAAGATCATTTGGATCTTCTGAAAGGTACGTGATGGGTCTTGAGTTAATCACTGATTCGATATCACAAAGTATAGTCAACATTTCTTTGTAAGAGACACAGACTTCCGAGAACATTTCTCAACATCTTCTTCACTGTTTGTATCCAACCTCTCCATCACCACCGCCGCCCCACCATGAAGCCCCCAGTTGGGGGATTAAACTTCCACTGTATTCTCATACTAGTTGAATGACATTCTATTTCTTTTCAATCTATCTATCGATCTTAACAGATTTTCAGTTCCAACGAAATTAGTGCCATTGTCGCTGTAAATAATACTCTTGGACGACTCTTCTGGCAATAAATCTCCTTAATCCCAAGATGAACGCATTTGTTGATAAACTTTCTATCAGCTCAAGATGTATCGCGCGATAGACCGCGCAAGTAAAGAGCAAGATCCATGCCTTTTTTTCCTTTTCGTTAAATAAAGAGGACCGGCTACATCGACTCCGGTCACTTCAAACACCAGAGCATCTCTAACTCGATCTTCAGGAAGAGGTGCTGGAACAGTCTCTATATTCTTTGCGCTATATCTTCTACAGCGAACACACTTCATAAGAACTTTACGTACTGTTTTTCTTCCTCTCAGGACCCAGAATTTCTGTCGAATATTGGCTAGTACGAATTGCACACCAGCGTGGGATAGTCGCAAATGGTAATCTAAAATTAACCTATGAACTAAGTCATGATTTGAGGGCAATACAATTGGACAGAGAAAATTTTCTTCTTCCTCTCTTCTAGTAATCTTGGTCTTTAACCGAATAAGGCCATCTGAGTCAATAAAGGTACAAAGGTTTTGCTAACAACTTTAAGTTCTTTGCCAAATGCTTCTATTTGTATTATCTTGCATATTTTCTTTTCTACGGTTTCTATTTCAGGAAGACCGTGAGTTCTCCTGATTGTTTAGAATCTGGTCTTCTGCAGTTGTTGATAAATCTGCATATCCAAGCAGTTATTCTTAACATTTTATGGTAAGATGAATATTTCTCAAAAAAATGTTCTACCCTTTGCGTATTTAGTGCAGAAATGACTGATTTCCTTTTTTCTGAATTCACTATTTCCATGTCCGGTATTTCCCTTTGTCTAGGCCATTCTTCCTGATTTTTCTTCAGCCAGTCGGGGCCCTCCCACCATCTAACTACTAAAAGTTGTTTAGCGGTGCAACCTCTTGATGGGAGGTCAGCTGGATTTTTTGTTCCAGCAATATGTTTCCACGTTTTTGGATCCGTCAGTTTCCTAATCTCCCTGACTCTGTTTTCCACAAAGACAGCCCAGACAATCTCTTCCCTTTGAATCCATGTCAAAACTGTTGTAGAATCCGTCCAAAAATGCGTTTCCATATTTTGCCATTGCAAACCATTTAAAACAGAAGAGCATAGTCTGGCACCTATCGTGGCAGCTATCAATTCCAGACGAGGGATCGTAATAGATTTTACGGGAGCTACTCTAGACTTCGATGCCAACAGATGAACTTCAACTCCAGAATTCGTCACAGTTCTCAAGAAAACTGCAGCAGCATACGCATTAATTACTACTGGCATCACAGAATGTGTGAATGCTGCAGAACTTCCTATTGTCCTTGCTGGAATGTATCCAACGTAGGAGGGATATTTCTTTTAAGAGAAAAAGGCTTTTATACCAATTCACAAAATTTGTTTTGTACTCTCGTCAACTTCAGTATCCCAAGAAATTCCTGTTTTCCATAGGTTCTGCAACAATATTTTAGGATACAAGAGAACAGGACTCACAATACCAATAGGATCAAATATTTGTGTGTTACAGCGAGAATTGTTCTCTTCGTTATTATACCCATTTCAAAATCTTCTAGCCAATTCAGATTCAAAGTTAAATTATCTTTCTGAGAGTTCCATAACAGACCCAATACGGGTGAAATAGTTTCATGTTTCAAGTTATCTCCGTTATGTAACCAACCTCGAAGATTAAACTTTCCTTCATACATTATTTCTCGAGATTTTTCGATGAACTGGAATCATCTCGGATTTTTTTTGTCAAAACTGGCAACAACGTTATCTACGTAGAAGCTACGCAAGAGTTTAGCTATTATCTCCGTATCATATGAAGAATTTTTCATGTACTTTTGTAGATGGAATTCTATAACAGCTGCCAAAAGGAAAGGACTACTCTTAACCCCAAATACTACCCTAGTATGACGAAATATTTTCGTTTTCCTTTCTTCCACACATCATTCCACCAGAAAAACCGAAGCCAGTCTCTATCTTGAGGCCTTACACTGATCTGTAAGAAAGCCTTTTCAATGTCTGCTATAGCAGCAAACTTGCCTTCCCGAAATCTCAACAAAAAGAGATGGAATTAGTTCTATCAAATTTGGTCCACACTCCAAACACTGATTTAGAGAAGGAGACGATTGTTTCCTCGCAGACGCATCAAACACCGGTCGAATTGGTGTTGAGCTATTTTCTTTTTTTTTTTGATCACCACGGTCTATGCGGTAAATAATGTCCATAGTCAACCGCAATATTTTCTTTAACTTCTTCGATCACTCCTAAGTTACACCAGTCATTAAAAACTGCATTGTATGAAGAAAATAAATTTTGAGATAAAAGTTTCTGGGTGGTAGATTGTAGACGTTTCAAAGCGCTAAATCCTTGTGGGTGGAGAAGTGGTACATGATTCTCCGCCCACGGAAGTGCGACTTCATAACGCCCTTCTTCGTTTAGAGATACAGAATTTTCGAATTGCAATTTTGCTTGCAAATCCCTTTCCTCTCTAGCCTTTTTTGTAACTG